ACACATTTATTAAGGCCAGTCACAACAACATGACACATTTATTAAGTCCAGTCACAACAACATGACACATTTATTAAGTCACAACAATATGACACATTTATTAAGGCCACAACAACATGACACATTTATTAAGGCCATTTACAACAACATGACACATTTATTAAGGCCAGTCACAACAACTTGACACATTTATTAAGTCACAACAACATGACACATTTATTAAGGCCAGTCACAACAACATGACACATTTATTAAGGCCAGTCACAACAACATGACACATTTATTAAGTCACAACAATATGATACATTTATTAAGGCCAGTCACAACAACATGACACATTTATTAAGTCACAACAACATGACACATTTATTAAGGCCATTTACAACAACATGACACATTTATTAAGGCCATTTACAACAACATGACACATTTATTAAGGCCAGTCACAACAACATGACACATATATTAAGGCCATTTACAACAACATGACACATTTATTAAGGCACAACAACATGACACATTTATTAAGGCCAGTCACAACAACATGACACATTTATTAAGTCCAGTCACAACAACATGACACATTTATTAAGTCACAACAATATGACACATTTATTAAGGCCACAACAACATGACACATTTATTAAGGCCATTTACAACAACATGACACATTTATTATGTCACAACAACATGACACATTTATTAATGCCACAAGTCACAACACAGCGTCATGGAAAAAGGAGTTCAATGTGGGAGAAAATATATACATGTACCGGCTGACCAGGAAAAAGTTTGTTCCAACAAATGTCAACAACTTCTAGTTTACGACTCAACAGATATCCAAACTGACCAAAAGCTGGACGTACATTCGGATCATAGCTGGAACGTACATTCGGATCATAGCTGGAACGTACATTCGGATCATAGCTGGAACGTACATTCGGATCATAGCTGGAACGTACATTCGGATCATAGCTGGAACGTACATTCGGATCATAGCTGGAACGTACATTCGGATCATAGCTGGAACGTACATTCGGATCATAGCTGGAACGTACATTCGGATCCTGTTTTTCAACTAAAGAAATTGCTGTTGCACAACGGAAAGATAACAATAATAAATCTTTTCGCCGCTGTACAACGGGCTTTTTCTGTGTGGACGTATCAAACACTGTACATGTATCAACAAACACTGTACACGTATCAACAAACACTGTACACGTATCAACAAACACTGTACACGTATCAACAAACACTGTACACGTATCAACAAACACTGTACACGTATCAACAAACACTGTACACGTATCAACAAACACTGTACACGTATCAACAAACACTGTACACGTATCAACAAACACTGTACACGTATCAACAAACACTGTACACGTATCAACAAACACTGTACACGTATCAACAAACACTGTACACGTATCAACAAACTACATCTCCCAAACTGACCTGCTTCTGATTAGCTCACAAAGACGGGATAGATAGATGTATATATATATATATCTGTAACAGAGGGATAGATAGATGTATGTATCTGTAACAGAGGGATAGATAGATGTATGTATATGTAACAGAGGAATAGATAGATAGATGTATGTATCTGTAACAGAGGGATAGATGTATGATGTATGTATATGTAACAGAGGGATAGATAGATGTATGTATATGTAACAGAGGGATAGATAGATGTATGTATAACAGAGGGATAGATAGATGTATATATGTAACAGAGGGATAGACAGATGTATGTATATGTAACAGAGGGATAGATAGATGTATGTATCTGTAACAGAGGGATAGATAGATGTATGTATCTGTAACAGAGGGATAGATAGATGTATGTATATGTAACAGAGGGATAGATAGATGTATGTATAACAGAGGGATAGATAGATGTATATATGTAACAGAGGGATAGACAGATGTATGTATATGTAACAGAGGGATAGATAGATGTATGTATCTGTAACAGAGGGATAGATAGATGTATGTATATGTAACAGAGGGATAGATAGATGTATGTATATGTAACAGAGGGATAGATAGATGTATGTATCTGTAACAGAGGGATAGATAGATGTATGTATATGTAACAGAGGGATAGATAGATGTATGTATATGTAACAGAGGGATAGATAGATAGATGTATGTATATGTAACAGAGGGATAGATAGATGTATGTATCTGTAACAGAGGGATAGATAGATGTATGTATATGTAACAGAGGAATAGATAGATAGATGTATGTATCTGTAACAGAGGGATAGATGTATGATGTATGTATATGTAACAGAGGGATAGATAGATGTATGTATATGTAACAGAGGGATAG